TTTTTTTTTTTTTTTTTTTTGCAAGTAACTATTAAATCTCTGTATAATTTCATTTCTTTGACCTAGGTGTCTCTGTCTCCGTCTTCGTCAAACAGTACCGCACGTGGTTTGGTCAGTATGGTGGTGACCGAGAACCGAGCGTCTCTGATGGGCGTAGTGGTTGGGGAACAGCTCGGAATCGTCGCAGCGATCACGCTGAACGGGCGGCCAAATGGTAAGCTTTGTTTCTTGATAGTTGAACCCTGGGGGTATTTCAGTTCTATTAGTACTTCCATGGACGAAACCGAACTGAATTAAACTGGATTTGTTTGAGTAAATTTGATTTGACGTGTTTTATCAACTTATATTCCAGATAACATGTGTGTATATAAATACTGTGTGTATATAATATATACCTGTACATCGTATAACGATGAATTAAACTGCCTTTCTCGGATAACCGATTTAGATGTATGCGTTTCGAAAAGCATTTTTGTAAGGGGCGTGTGTGCACGCGTCTACCGGGTGCGTGTGAGCCAGTGTGTGTTTGTTTTGTGTGTGTGTGTGTGTGTGTGTGTGTGTGTGTGCCTAGGCGTGTTCTTTCGTGTGTGTTTGTGTGTCTTTGACAATAAGCATTCGAGTTGTGACTTCTGTCTTTTCCATATTCTTCCTGGCCTGCAGGTGCCAATACGGTCAATATCCCATTATCTATGATGAAGAACGGCGTACTGCAAGGAATTATAGATGTCGCACAGGCAGCAGCATTCATTGACTCAGGTAGTATGGTTTTAATCAGTGAAGACATTTGCGAAAACAATTAAGCTAAAATTCGGTTTGTCTTTTGAAAACGGATCCTTTCAAAATGGTATGAACTCAAATACAGTATTTTATTTAAAATACTGCAGGACACAAACAAAATGAATAAATGAGAAGAAATGTATATACAATTTTACTTGAAATACAATTGTTGTACTATTTTATTTTGAATGTGAGTATTGGTATATTTTTACAAAAGTAAATGAAAAACAATATTTCTTCAACTTGTAGGTAAATTTTTTACATCCATGTCTGTAACATTTGGCAACGAAATCCTGCAGGGCGATGTCATTGATGGTGTAACACAGGTAAATACTTAAAGGCGTTGCAGAATACAACTGTCAACCCCATTGTCTAGTCACATTTTTAAAAATACAAAGTTACATAATCATGGTAGCATCTCTTTTTCAAACAAAGAAGTTTGCATAATAATATATTCCCTTAACATCGTCATCTATAGACTTTTTATAAAGTAAATAGAGATTTTAAAAAGAAACATTAAACCAAACATTGTGCAAATCGCATTTTCAAATCAATCTTCCCTGAGATCAGTTGTGTCGGCATACTTCTTTTTCGTGTATAGGGCCTACATAGTCATGCCTACTATAATTGATAACGCTGAGAATTGCTTTATTGGTCTATAATTCAGGCTTCCCTAATGACGCCATCGGGAACGGTAGGGGAGGCCATTTTTGTGCCCGGTTCCAGTGACATTCAGTACGAGATAGTGGTGAGTAACAAGGCGCCTTTAATGGATGTCATGTTCGTAAAGACGCGTTTTGCATAGTGGATATATTAGCGGATCCAGGATCCAGGAAGTAAATGGTACGGAGAAGTCGCAAGGATGAAATAGGAAAACGGTGTAGATTCTTAGAGGCCCACTGGAAAATGTACTGGGTTGTTGTTGTTGTTGTTTTATTATTTATGTTCCTTTTTTATAACACAGATACTGTAGGTTGGAACATATTAATGATCAAGTTAAAGCAATGTGCCATCAATTATTACCTTTACTGTAAACACACTTTTTCTGTTTCTGTGTTGGATATACTGGGGGTTCTTGTACGTGGAACAATAGATTACTATTGATAGATTTCGCTTGCTTTCCGTTTAGGTAATGGGTCCGTCTTCTAAACCAAGTGCTGGCCTGTATGGTCCCGCGAGACGCGGCATGACTAGCACGTCTAGTGTAGATCTGACGATAGGTGGCAGCAGGATAGGCACCCAAGGCTGGCATGGAAAGGGCACCCTGGTACCTGAGGTAAGTTTTGTTATTTTCATCCTTCAAAATGTTTTGTGAGTTCTTTATCTGTAGGTTTGCGTGATATGATCTTTTTCAGCCTATTTAATTTTCATGGTCCTATGGCCGTATTTCAGTGGTCACCATGTCACAAAATTAACCAGTCCTTGGGTTATACGGCTGTGGGGTGTAGGTGTGGGTGCACTGGGAGTGGGATATTTGATAAAAGGGATAGACGGGTGCAGGTAACGTGCAAACAAACAGGTAGGAAAAGGGGGTGGGATGGCGGCAAGTGCCTCCAGTGCCATCTGGCGGCTATGTCCTTGCATACATTCTCCGCGTGATGACCACGTCATGACGTCACGTGTTTCAGGCTCCTCTCAGTATGTCCGCCGTGTTGCTGTACATGTGGAAGGAAATGATGTACGTGGAGGTCAGCACTGGAAACACGTGGAGAGCACGTGGCCAGGTACGGTGAGAAAGAAATAAAAATAATATCATTGTTCTTGATTTTAATTTTTTTTATTAAATTTCTGTGTAAGATCATCTGATAAAGGGCATACCTTTGTTCGCTGCTATACAAAAAATGTATGGGGATTATATATATTTTATTAAGTGCTTAAAACTATGATGTGTATATACGTTTGTATGCTTAAAAGTCATAATAACAAACAACAGATGGCATATGTGGATATCTTTACTGGTAGGTCTTCAGAGCGCCTAGTTCACAACAGTTACATTTACATTGCAATTGATTCGGTCATTGTTTTGAATTATTAGAAATTAACTAAGTATGTACTTTCAAAAACATCGTTTACTTAAAAAAAATTCTATTGTCTTATCTCCCGATTTTTTCAGGTATCAGCTCCAAGTAAAGCCGCCTGCACGGCCAGCAAAACAGTTCTTTGTAAGTTGACTAATATTTGCCAATATCATTTTGGGAGCATGCACATGCTCCTTGAAGTAATTTATTTCACGTGGTTGAAAAAGTTGTCAATTCAGTGGAGAAAAGCGATTAAGGCACTGGTTTAAGAATGTTAATTATTAATTAACAACTGGTAAACTATTTTTCATTGCCAGTTCGGGTTTCTGGGCACCTTAGTTACAATATTTTTACAAAACAGTTTGCCTTTATCTCTTTTTAGGTCAGGTCAGTGAAGTGACCGTAGACGGCCAGGCGTCGGACAGGTTGAAAAAGGTCCTGGACACGAATGGCTTGGCTGCTGTTCATTACGACGCGCTTGCAAAGACTCTTAATATGAGGTAGGAAAAGGAAATTACATTTTTGATGAGATGACGCCTGATATATGACAACGCAACTAGACAGCGTCACTTTATCATAACTCTTGGTAACATAACTCACCTCAATGATTTTACGACGAGCTTTAAATCACTTCTCGGTGGGAACCTAGTAAGTAGGCATAATGGGGTGTGCATTATGAATGAAAGAACAAATGATAGTTCTATTCAATAGTGTATATAATATATAATGTATAATGATGCCTGCAACAATATATAGGCCTACGAAACATAAATAAAATTGTTTCTCTCTGGACAGGTGTCAAATTCATCATGTGCTTGTTTTCAAAAAAAATGTGTTAAATAAACGTCTTTTTAGCCTTTTTTCTTCATTTTAGTGTCCTTTTATTTGACGCACGCCAAGACGAAAATGTGACCGGTGTACAAGTAACCTCTGGTAGCAGTCAGCTGTATTCTGCGGGCGGAGAACTGTTTGCGCCATCACTTCTTCAAGACAAGGGTTTTATGTTAAAGGTATGTTGACGTAAATTCTGCTTAGCACAACTCTATCGTCCTAGGATTTAGAAATGGAGGATTCTTCACTGTCCGATCGTGGAATCGTGTGTTTTATCTCCTCCTTATATTTTATAACAAATTCTAGGATCATACCATGGGGGTGGCTCTGGATGACGACAACATAGCGGCATTGCAACGGGGAGAGGTCAAGGTGAAGGTCATGACCTCGCATTATCCTGACGGCATTTACGCCAACATTCCGTCACTCTCGCAAATGCCGCAACCAAGCACCGCCAATCCAAGAAGCACGCGCGGTCCAATAAGTAGAGGGAGCCACACAACAACGGGGGCAGCAGTGATGACTGCTCTGCTTGTTTTGGCCAAGATTATATAAATGACCAATCAAATATTAATTGAAAAAACCATCCGTGCATGAAATATGTTTGCGAATCAGCCTTATATATTGCCATATATGTATTGCCCCTATTTTACAGTTCTAAATGGAGTTTCACCAAAACTGACTTACGTCTTGTTAATCCCTTTCTTCCATAACATTTGACCCACTTGTATATCACTTACAACAACCCAAGATCAACTATTTTTGAGATTAGAAAAATTGATTTTCATATTATACGTGACGTGCATGAGATAAGCATCGCCGTCATTTTTAAGAGGCTATTTTTACCTATAAACTTTATATTTTTAAAGAAAAATTCCAGTTGGTACTTATAGCAATGAATGACTTTTTAGATGAAATTGATTTTCTTTTCATAAATATTTAAGTTTTTGATTAAGTATTTTTTAATTTTTAAAAAGATTTTATGATGTGTTATGACTTTTGTTTCGAAAGACAATCAGATTATTGGTCGTTAATAAATTAGCACATTAGGAAGAGCAAACAGTGTGCTATATTAATATAACAGTGTTTTATGTTATATCCTATGTTTTAACATGACTTTTATTGATAAATAAGGAATGTACGAAGAATAAAAATTCGTCTACCCTGAACAATGAAATACTTCACGGGTCGATAAAACCTACAAAACGTCAGGAAACAAACCCTACTTGTAGTCCAGGAAATTGGTGAAAAATTGTGCATTTTTTACCTACAAGCATGAAATTTGGCACACTTATGGACAATAAAATTCTAAGCAAATTTGGATATATGGGCATGTCTGAAAATTCCAAAATGGCCGTCAAATCCAATATGGCCACCAAAATACCTTTTCAAATTAAAACTTCAAGTACATAGTCTTCTAATGACTTAAAATATCATATAAAGGCTAGAAAACACCATGGTAGGAATCCTTCAGGTGTATTAAATCCAAAATGGCCGCTAAAAGTAAAAAAAGCAGACCATTTATTCAAGTTATCCATTTGAATGGGGAATTCATCAAGCACTTAAAACTACAAGCATTAAATTTGGCAGGTTTGTGGAAAATGAAATTCTGAGCAAGTTTGGATGTATGGGCATATCCGAAAATTTAAAAATGGCCTTCAGATCCAAGATGGCCTCCAAAAATACGGCTTCTAATTAAAACTTCAAGTATATAGTCTTTTAAGGGCGTAAATATCATACAAAGGTTAAAAAACACCACGGTATGAATTCAGAATCAATGTTTGCTTTTTTAGGTGAATTAAATCCAAAATGGCCGCCAAAAGTAAAAAGCACTCTACTAATCCAAGATATCCAGCAGAGTGGTTAATTCATCAAAAACTACAAGCATGGCATTTGGTTCAGTTGTAAAACAGGATTCCAAGCACTTTTGGATGTATGAGCATGTCTAAAAATTTCAATATATGGCCCCCAAATCCAATATAGCCGACACAA